GGAAGGTGGGCACGCGGGCGCGTCGCGGACGATGCACACCCAGGGGGAGGGGACGTGGCTGCACTGGACACGGTTCTTTCACACGGAGCCCGATTGCAGGAAAGTGCTTCCATATGGGCCAGGGAGGAGCCAGCCAAACAGGCCTGAGGGCTGGATCCAGAGTGAGGGCCAGAGCACCGGGTGGTGTCTGTTGTTTTTTTTAATTCAAAATTTTTTTTTTGTTCATCCTCCCCCGAGGATATGTTCCCACGGAGTCTTAGGGAGAGTGGAAGGGAGAGGGAGACAGAGAGAAACATCGATGTGAGAGAGACACATTGATGGGTTGCCTCCTGCATGTGCCCTGACCAGGGCCCGGGCCGGGGAGGAGCCTGCCACCCAGGTCCGTGCCCTTGACCTGAATCGAACCCGGGACCCTTTGGTCTGCAGGCTGGATGCTCTATCCACTGAGCCACACCAGCCAGGGCTCCCACACTTCTTTCCTTTTTTTTTTTTTGTAAATATATTTTTATTGATGTCAGAGAGGAATGAATGGAGAGGGAGAGAGAGAAACATCCATGGTGAGAGAGAATCATGGATCGGCTGCCTCCTGCACGCACCCGACTGGGGATTGAGCCCACAACCCGGGCACGTGCCCTTCAGTGGAATCGAACCCGGGACCCTTCTGTTCCCAGGCCGGATGCTCTATCCACTGAGCCACACCGGCCAGGGCTCCCACATTTCTTAAGCCCAAGGCTCACTGCAGCTCTGACCTGCTGGAGGAGGGCACCCCTTCTTCTGTCTGGGGGAACCCCTCCCCCTTTATCCTCGCCTTCTGTTTGCTCATCAACCCACATGACAGGGCTGGGGTTTCAGCCTGAAATTCACCAAAACCACTCTCGCTAAGGCCGCACCAGATCTCCCAACTGCCAAAGAGAAACTGGGGACCCGTACCCCGCATGAGGGCTCAGGGCAGCATCTACCGTGGCTGCCCTCTGCCTCCTTTTTTTCTTCCTTTTTTTAAAAGGCCCGATCCCACAGGGCCTAAACCAGCAGTCAGACAACCCTCTTGTAATCTGGGACCGCTGGCTCCTAACCGTTTACCTGCCTGCCTGCCTGATTGCCCTTAAACATTCTGAGAGAGACACCTCGATGGGTTGCCTCCTGCACACGCCCCAACCAGGGCCCAGGCTGGGGAGGAGCCTGCAACCCAGGTCCATGCCCTGGACCGGAATCGAACCTGGGACCCTTTGGTCTGCAGGCCGACGCTCTATCCACTGAGCCACACCGGCCAGGGCTCTGCCTCCTTTTTGGAATTACTTCCTTTCATCTCCGTGACTCCTTTCTTGCTGTAATCAACAACTGATGGCCCCTCGAGGCAGAGGTCAGCGGACTACAACCCGCGGGCCAGGTGCAGCCTGAAGCCTCTGTATATTAATAAAAGGGTAATATGCTAATTAGATCAGACATCTTCTGGACGTCCTTCCTGACAAAGCCAGCCCAGGCAAAGCCACCTGCCCGTGGTCCCAGATGCCAGCACCTGTGGCTGCAGCCCAGGAGACGGAGAAAAGCCACCCGCCCACAGTCCCCTGCAGCTACGGCTGGCCTGAGTCCTGGGTGCCTGTGGCCGGCCGAAGGAGGGAATCCTGGGTCCCAGGTGCGGGGCCGAGGCAGAGGGGTTAGGGAAGATCAGGCAGGCAGGTGAGCGGTTAGGACCCAGCGGTCCCAGATTGCGAGAGGCATGTCCGACTGCCAGCTTAGGCCCGATCCCCCGAGGGGTCCAGGATTGGAGAGGGTGCAGGCTGGGCTGAGAGACCCACCCCTCCCCCCGTCCCCATGCATGAATTTCATGCACTGGGCCTCTAGTTTTATAAATAAAGTTTTATTGAAACACAGCCGTGCTGTGGGTTCACAGGTCATCTGTGGGTGCTTCGGCACCACAATGGGAGGGCTGAGTGGGTGAGAGACCCCTGTCTCCCCCCGCCCCCTGCCCTGGAGCTCTAATACATGTATATCTGGTCCTTTACAGAAAAGCATAGTGACCCCCAAATTAAAGCCTTTTTTTTAAAGGCAGGTATTTTTTAAAAGGCAGGTGTTACTGAAATGAAAAGATGGACATTTCTGAATATATAAAGTTTAGAAACCATTCGTTCAAAAAGCACAAAACAATATTTAACGTCCAGTGACAACCCGAGAGCAGCATTGGAAATAGGTATAACGGATAAAAGATCAGCATTTGTGAAATAGTCAACCTTCACAACAGTGAGGAAAACATCCAAAGGGGAAAAGGCCTCTAACTGGAAAATTAAAATGCAGGGATTAAATCAATCAATCAATAAATCAATAAATAAAATAAAATAAAATGTAGGAATGAGCCACAATGACAATATTTTTACCTTGTTGGCAATCAAAGGGAGGCAAATAAAAGAAATGATGACTTCATGGTTTACCGAAAAAGTTGGCAAATGTTTAAAAATAAAGATTCTCTTGCCCACCTGGTGTGCCTCAGTGGTTGAGCATCGACCTAGGAACCAGGAGGTCAGGGTTCGATTCCCAGTCAAGGGCACAGGCCCGGGTTGCAGGCTCAATCCCCAGTAGGGGGCGCACAGGAGGCAGCTGATCCATGATTCTCTCTCATCATGGATGTTTCTCTCTCCCTCTTGCTTCTTCTCTGAAAACAATAAAACTATATGAAAAAAATAATAAATGAAAAAAGTAAAAATAGTCATACTCAGTGTTGGCCAAGGTTTCTAGAAACAGGTACCTTCAGAAGTAGCGACGGGAATAAAACTTTGACAGAGTTTTCAGAAGATGTATGACTTTCAGGAAACTGCTTAATAGCTCTTTCCACCCCAAAAGCTTAGTGTTAGGAAAGTGTTAGCCTGGTAACATAGATGGTCTACAGCACATTTAGGTTTGTTTTTTTTTGTGTGTGTGTGTTTAGTAACATAGATGGTCTACAGCACATTTAGGTTTGTTTTGTGTGTGTGTGTGTGTGTGTTTTAATTATTTAAGGCAAACTTTATTGATTTATTTTAAACTAGAGGCCTGGTGCATAAAATTCGTGCATGGAGGGGTGTCCCTCAGCCTGGCCTGCACCCTCTCCTATCCAGGACCCCTCGGGGATGTCCAACTGCTGGGTTCAGGCCTAAACCGGCAGTCGGACATCCCTCTCACAATCTAGGACCACTGGCTCCTAACTGCTTGCCTGCCTGCCTACCTGGTCACCCCTAACCACTCTGCCTGCCTGCCTGATCTCCCCTAACTGCTCCCCTGCAGGCCTGATCGCCCCTAACTGCCCTCCCCTGCCAGCCTGATCACACCTAATTGCTCTCCCCTGCCGACCTGATTGCCCCTAATCACCTCTGCCTCGGCTTTGTCAGGAAGGACGTCCGGAAGATGTACGGTCTAACTAGCGTATTACCCTTTTATTAGCATAGATAAGGCATGTGAAAATGTGGGCCCAGAATTAAACAAAATTTCCAAGTAACTTCTGGTTGCTGTATAATGGGAGAATAGAAACATAAAATTGTTTACTATCACTGCATAAAATTAAAAACAATTTCCCAAGTTTCAGCAAAATGAACTCCTCTTAGACAATATCATTAAGTCGCCAGCAAGTTACTGGGTGGCATCCAACTCCTGCCAAAAGTTTCTCGTCGTGAATTTTAGAATATCCCACTTTTATAAACCCACTATTCTGTCCTTGGACAAATATTGACATTCCAGGGCATTTCGGCTGCTCTCCTTTTAAGAAGTCAAACTAACAAAACGAATGCATTTCTCAAGGTTAATCTAATGCAAGCGCAGTGGTCCTGGGGACAACACATCGTTAAATGGAACCAAATCTATTTGCGGAAAGGCAGGCGCATTTCGAGTTCAGGTGCCGTTGCACCGGGGGTGACACCTACTTTTCTCAGGAGACACGTGTGGCTTGGCCTGTCCCCGCACCAGCCTGCAGGTGGAGCCGTTGCCCGCGCACACCCCGCAGTTGTCCTCCTGGGCATGACTCCCCAGCTGCCGGTCACAGCCCACCGCCTGCGACAGAGCAGGTGTCAGAGCTGTGAGAATGCGGAGGCGGGAGGTGATTGCTTTCGTATTAATGGGGGTTTCCTCCCTTTCTTAAAAAAAATTATTATTTTTATTGATCTCAGAGAGGAAGGGAGAGGGAGAGAGAGAGAGAGAGAAACATCAATGAGGAGAGAGAATCATGGATCGGCTGCCTCCTGCACGCCCCCTACTGGGGATCGAGCCCACAACCTGGGCATGTGTCCTGACCGGGAATCGAACCGTGACCTCCTGGTTCATAGGTTGACGCTCAACTACTGAGCCACCCCGGCCGGGCAGGGGATATTTTGAGATTCCTACGGGGCAGTCAGGGGAAGCGTTACACTTGCTCTGTGCATTTCCCGAAGGTGAGAGGGACAGGTTTAAGCCTCATTGAATGCCCTCTGACAACGTCCGGCAGGTCAGAGGCGTCTGGCAGGAATACTCAGCCATGGGCCAGGGGGCCTCTGGGAGGACACCTCTGAGAAGAGATCCAATTATTTGATGGGCAGCTGAATCCAATGACTTTTAGGATCCTTCCGTCCTGATGATATCTATACTAACAAAAGGGTAATATGCTAATTAGACCGGGAGACCTTCCGGGAGACCCTCTGGACGTCCTTCCGGTCAAAGCCATGGTGGCGGGGCCGAGGCAGAGGCTGTTAGGGGTGATCAGACCAGCAGGGGAGGGCAGTTGAGGGTGAGTAGGCCAGCAGTGGGGGCAGTTGGGGTCGAGCAGGACTGCAGGGGAGGGAGTTGGGGGCGATCAGACTGGCAGAGGGGGCAGTTGGGGGTGATCACGCCAGAAGAGAGGGGTAGTTGGGGGGGATCAGGCCAGCAGGGGGGGCAGTTGGGGGTGATCACGCCAGAAGAGAGGGGTAGTTGGGGGGGATCAGGCCAGCAGGGGGGGCAGTTGGGGGTGATCACGCCAGAAGAGAGGGGTAGTTGGGGGGGATCAGGCCAGCAGGGGGGGCAGTTGGGGGTGATCACGCCAGAAGAGAGGGGTAGTTGGGGGGGATCAGGCCAGCAGGGGGGGCAGTTGGGGGTGATCAGGCTGGCAGGCAGGGGAGCGGTTAGGAGCCAGTGGTCCCAGATTGCAAGAGGGATGTCTGACTGCCGGTTTAGGCCCACAGGGATTGGGCCTAAACCAGCATTCGGACATCCCCCAAGGGGTACCAGATTGGAGAGCGTGCAGGCGGGCTGAGGGACCGCCCTCCCCCATGCACGAATTTCGTGCACCAGGCTTCTAGTGGTTTTATAAAGAGAGTAGTAAAATAGTAGTAGCAATACTTGATTTTTATTGAATGCTTGCCATGTGCCAGGCATTGAGCCAAGCACATTATAAAGACACTAGGGGCCCCAGTGGGGTTCCTTGGCCTGGCCTGCGGGATCGGGCCAAAAACCGGCTCTCCGACATCCCCCAAGGGGTCCCGGATTGCGAGAGGGTGCAGACCAGGCCGAGGGACCCCACTGGTGCATGATCGGGGCTGGGGATGGACAGGGGAGGTTGGCCAGCAAGGGAGGGACTGCAGAAGGGCTCTAGGGCATGTCCGGCTCATCTTTCTCTTTCTTAGTCCCAATCTGCCAGACCCCTGGTGGTCAGTGCACATCATAGCGAGCGGTTGAGCAGCCTTACTATATCATTAGCATATTACCCTTTGATTGGTTGAATGGATGACTGGACACTTAGCATATTAGCCTTTTATTATACAGGATTATTTCATTTAATCTTTCCATCAACCTTATAATATACTTGATACCTTTTATCTCTTTTTTTTTTTAAGTATGTTTTTATTGATTTCAGAGAGGAAGGGAGAGGGAGAGAGAGATAGAAACATCAATGATGAGAGAGAATCATGGATTGGCTGCCTCCTGCACGCCCCACACTTGGGATCAAGCCCACAACCCCGGCCTGTGCCCTGACCGGGAATTGAACTGTGACCTCCTGGTTCATAGGTCGACGTCCAACCACTGAGCCACACCAGCCGGGCCCTTTTATCTCTGTTTTTACAAATAAGGCATTTGAATGTTCCTGAGGTTAAACAACTTTCCGACATTACACAGCTAGTGTATCGTGTCAGTAATGGTTTTATTTATTTATTTTTTTATTTTTATTTAATTAATTTATTTTTTCTTTTCAATTTACAGGCAAACCTTGTTTTATTTCAGTAAAGGTTTTAGAGAAAATCCAGGTCATCTGAGGCCAACATCTTAACACCAGGCTACACCTTCCTCCCCTTTCCTGTCAGCGGATGGATGATGAAGAACCCAGTGACAGCCCCGGCTGGTGTGGGCCAGTGGATAGAGCGTCGGCCTGCAGACCAACGGGTCCCGGGTTTGATTCTGGTCAAGGGCATGCGTCCCTTGGTTGCAGATTGTCAGGGTGCATGCGGGAGGCAAACCATCGATGTGTGTCCCTCCCATCGATGTTTCTCTCTGTCTCTGCCCCTCCCTTCCACTCTCCCTAAAAATCAGTGGGAAAATATCCTCGGGTGAGGATTAACAACAACAACAACAACAAAACCCCACAAAAAACCAAAGCCAGTTACCGGGGCCGCCATCGTAATATTTACAGGCACATGTGGAACGACTTAAGAGGGATTGATTTTGGAAACGCACTTGCAAGTTTGGGATTCAATCAATGAGCAACTGACATCCATGCAACCCTCTCCGGGGGGAGTAATATTCCACGATTAAATGACAGACGCGCAGGTCCCGGGCCAAGAGCTGTCCTCACACGGGTGGGGCTGGGGGGGGTTGTCCCCGAGCACTTGAGTGAGCATTGCCCTCTCTCAGACCGGCCCCAAGGGCGTGGGTGTAGGAGCTCAGATGGGCTTTTTTGGAAGAGTGTTCAGGCCTTGCAAGACCGAGGGCAATAGGACACCTCCCTGAGCTCCTCTGTTTGATTCCTAACTTTTAAAAATATATTTTTTTATTGATCTCAGAGAGAAAGGGAGGGAGAGAGAGATAGAAACCAATGATAAGAGAGAATCATGGATCGGCTGCCTCCTGCACGCCCCCCACTCGGTTCAAGCCAGAAACCCGGGACTGTGCCCTGACCGGGAATTGAACCCTGACCTCCTGGTTCATAGGCCGAGGCTCAACCACTGAGCCACGCCGGCCGGGCATGACTACATATATATATTTTATTGATTTTTTACAGAGAGGAAGGGAGAGGGATAGAGAGTCAGAAACATCGATGAGAGAGAAACATCGATCAGCTGCCTCCTGCACACCCCCCCACTGGGGATATGCCCACAACCAAGGTACATGCCCTTGACCGGGGTCGAACCCGGGACCCTTGAGTCCGCAGGCCGACCCTCTATCCACTGAGCCAAACCGGTTAGGGCATGACTGCTGTTTTTGATACGATCGTAATAGGGAAGATGGAATACTAGCCATTCATTATTTCAATTTTTTTCCACCCAGAAGTCAAAGGAATGGAGGTGGAATCCTACCTTGTCAAAGCCACTTCTGCAGTATCCCCACAACGTGTGCCAGGGCCCTGATTCCACCCCCCTCGCAGCCCTGTGGGGTTGGTTCTGATTCAGCCCCATCCATCAGCGCGGCCTTAGCCGGTGTGGCTCAGTGGATAGAGCATCGGCCTGCAGACTAAAGGGTCCCAGGTTCGATTCCGGCCAAGGGCACATGCCCGGGTTGTGGCCCGATTCCCTCCCACCCCCAGGTTCTCTCTCATCATTGATGTTTCTATCTCTCTATCTCTCTCCCTTCCTCTCTGAAATCAATGAAAAAATATATATTAAGAAAAAAACAATATGGTTCCTTAAATGTTAAGAAAAAAAATAAAGAATGCATTCATGCTAACTTTTCAGCAAATAAGTCACTGCCCCTAAAGACGCCAAACAATGAATTCATGAATTCGTGTCAGCAAAACAATGAATGAAAAAGCTCAGAGAACCGAGCAATGTTAACGTTTCGAAGCAGTGGTTCTCAGAGTGGGGTCCCGGGACCTTGTTAAA